TTTTTTTTTTCACTTTTTTATTTTTTATTTTTTATTGATTGATTGATTGATTGATTGATTGATTGGTGAGGAAGTGGTCGCCCTTCCCCCCCCCACATGCACACACACACACACACGAAAAAATAATTTATTTATTTTTTTTAATTATTTTCCTTTTGATTAAAATACATGTTTTTTGTTTTCTATTTTTTAAAAATAAGAAAACATTTTAAAATCCGAAAACAAAATTACCGCTTTGTAGGGCTCTTCAAACCCTACAACCTCATATTTGTTTTTTTTTTTTTGGTCTATTATTTTCTTTTTTATAAATGTTTGAAATTCTCGGCCCCACCCAACCGCAGGGCCGACCTATGCGGTTGGGATCCCGACCGCAGGCTGAGATGGACCCCGCGGTCATGACCGCGGGGGATACATAGCCTGGAAGACAACTCGAAAGAGGAGGACATTTGCACACCCAAAGGCCTCTGGCAATAAATACACATTTGGGCACCGCACCATCATCCAGCATATTTTTTGTTTCCGATGCATCCGAGTTACTGTAGTCTCTTGTTGTACTGTCTCTTGTTGTACTGTCGGTTTCTTTAGTCTCTTGTTGAAAGAGTTGCTTTAGTCTCTTGTTGTACTGTCGGTTTCAGGGCTTGGATCAATCTACAGCTGATTCTTGATATTCGTTTCTCGAAATTGAGGTTTTGAGTAATCATCCAGGGCTCTTTTGTTCATTAGGGCCATCTCGATTTAATTTGTGTCGCTTCGCAGTACCAATCGCATCACCTTTCGGATTATCCTTCCCTCGCCACATCCAATGTTGCCCATTCATGCAGGTATGTTTGTTCAGCATCGCCACCTCATTTCAAATTTCGTGACATCCCAGGACCTATCGGCGTCGCTTTTCAGGTTTTCCCTCCGCCGACACATTCTATTTTACATTGTATTGGGCGATGCATATACACAGATTGTATGAAGGCTCTTGCAGATGGCGAACTTTGATGGGCCAAAGACTTGACAACATGCAATGTTGGAAGCAAAAAGCACTGAGCTTGAAGGGCTAGAGGGGCCGTCAAATGTAGAAAAAGGCCGGTGCGTTGTGTTAGCGCCCTATGATGCCTCACAATAGCCAAAGCGAAAAGCCAAGTGCAAACGACAAATAGTAGAATAAGTTGGATTACGGATGCATCCGAGTCTGCGTTGTGTTAGCGTCCTGTGATACCTCTTCATATCCAAAGCGAAAAGCCAAGTGCAGACGACAAATAATAGAATAAGTTGGAGTTCGGATGCATCCGAGTCCGCCTCATAATATCGAGAAAGTCGAGTGTAAACGACAAAGTATAGAATAAGTTGGAATTCGGATGCATCCGAGTATTTGGACAGAACATCACATCACACAAGACACGAAATGATGAAAACGAGAAAGAGAATGACGACAAAGGCGCCTCAACAATGGGGATGTTCGTGATTATTTAAAGCAATTGTGCAAGTACAACAATGTCGACCACAAACACGTCGGGAACGTGACAATTCAACCCGGAAAACAACTACCAGACTCTCACGTAAAAAACGAAGAGGAGAACATTTCATCACGAGAAGAGCGAAATATTCTTCTACGTCAACCCTTCTACACTACATGAACAACAAATTGATAGATGGTCACCTACCAACATCACAAACCGCCAAAGCTAGTCTAGTTCTGATAGAGGAGATGTGTCTATGGGAGAAACCAAAAGGTGGACGTAAACCTCTCGCCAAACAGGAAGCGAACATCAACATGAACACCCCACAACTAGCTCCGTTGTGCTGCCGAGGGACACCTTTCACACACTCCTAGCACGCGAAGTGGTCGAAAGTGCGACAGTCACCGGAGGCACCTGCGACCGTGTTCAAAAATTCAACAGTTTTATCTAAAAGTGTGGAATAGAAGTGATCTTTGGATGACGAAGACGAGAAAGAATCATAGATTTCCAAAACACGTCTAGAGAAGTCAATGGCCAAAACGCTCCAGTGTCCGCCACCCTTGTGCACTGGTGCCAAGACGAGGTCATGAGACAGGAGGTCGACATCTTTAGCCCATCTGCTAGCAATTGCCGGACCTCGTAGGAGCATTGTAGAGGCGAAAAAAGAGTTGAAGGTGTACGTCTTCATGGTAGCGGCAGTCCGAGCGCAGTCGTCGAGTAGCATCGCCATGTAGAAATTCACAACCTCATCGTTGAGCTCCCCGGATCCATCCACGAGTGTGACGATGTCCTTGATGGAGACGTGTAAATTGTGTGACGGCAAACGCGCGACAATGAAAGTGAGGGACAACCGAGAGTGGATAACGTCTTCAAGGACTACTCTTCCACCTCGAGGAAACCCTATTCAACAAACACCCGCAGCACACAGCAAGCAAAGAGGACGGGGTACTATGAGAAAATGCGGCCCTAGCAGCCATTGTCCGAGGAGCTGCTGCTCTGCGGCCCAAAAAGTTCACGCATAACGTCACCCCTACTTCTGGACCTTCTATACATAGTTGATTCTAGACTAGCACTGTCCTTCTTTATATCCTTGCAAGCTTCGAGGAGGATTTCCTTGCAGTCCTTCTCGGCAACACCCGGTGTCTCTGCAACGAGTCTTGCGCGAGGGCCCACAATGGGCACGACTACCGTTTCGGGAGGGCCGCGAGGCTTAGTGTCCCCACAAAACATATCGGTGACATCGCCACGACCAGTGCCTTCTGCAACAAGGACTGACAGCCTGGCGGGGGCCGGCGGCTCCTGCGAACTGTTTGTTTTTCCACGACTTCGTCGACCTGTACAAGAAATAGCCACCGACAAATTTCAGATGGAGATCAACAACGCAACTTCGCAAGAGCACCAAACCAAACACCACCTCACGAACCCCATCCTCAACGTCCAGTTGTCGGCCGGCAACAGAGCATTCTCGAAGCAACGAAGCAAACAACACTTCACGAACGGGCAGAAGAGCGGGAAGCAGCAGAAAAAGTGAGTGCTTACCAGGCTTAGCTTCCACATCGTCGGATTCCGCAGACGGCAGTCCCAACACGATTGGCAACCCTCTGCGCGTTGACGCGGCAACGACATGCTCCAAACACCCAGGGAAGCTTGACAGGTTTGAGATGTCCGCGTCGATGACCATCGACGGCGTAACTTCTTTCCTATCTTGATGGCGGGGATCATCCAATTTTATTATGTCCCTCTCTGGACTAAGAGCGTCGACGTCCACAACATGGATAGATTGCGTTTTCTCCATCGCCACTATGTCGTAATCTGTCGGGTCCAAGGTCGCATCGATGTCCAGCATGACCTCTTCCCCCTTGAACTGTTTGTCGTCGCGCGCTGTGTCTTTGTCGTCATCACTGAAATAGAACAAGCTGTCCTTAGCAGCGTCAGAGGCCTTCTTCAGAATGTCCTCCCCCATAACCTCGTCACGAAGGTCGGAGTACAAGGGGTCGTCGCACCCCGGCTGAACTCGTTGATCCAACTCGACGGCCCCCATCTCATTGCCTGAAGTATCGCGGGGCATGCTGATGTCGCCAGGTTTCGGATCAATCCGATCGTCCGCGGAATGCATCCCCGAGGACCCGTCCGTTTTGTCCACAGACGTCACATGTCCACGATCCTCAACGACTGCCAGTTCAAGTCCAGCGTCTGCGTGTGTCGGATGCATCTGAATAACGGCCATCTCCAAACCAGCATCATTATAGCTCTGGTTCGGATTCATCCGAGCCCCGACAATTTCCGGTGGCGCGGACGTGTCCGCTTCCATCGGAGAGTCGCTTAAGACTGCTAACTTAGTGCTTACCGTCACCAGGCATTCATCCCCGAGTGTGCAAGACTGGACATTGGAAGTGGGCGGTAACTCACCATGAAGGGAATCCATGGCATCGTCTCGAACACCGACTACCAAAGTCGGACAGTCTGCCTGCAGCTCCTGGCGGGCTTCCGTGCACAGCATTACGACGTCCTCATACCGATCGACTGTCATTGCCGAATCGTCCTCCTGGTTCGGATGAATCCGAATTTGGCTGGCAATGCTTTCGGAAACTCGGACCATCCGTTCGACTTCCGTAGACCACCGTGCTCTCTTGACGGTACTGTCTTCCAGGTTCGGATCAATTCGAACTCCCCAATGCGGCCCGAGGTATGTTGTCATTTTGCTTCCCGCGGGGTACTGAGTTCCGGACAGCGACGTAGTTCTCGTGGTTCGGATTGATCCGAGACAACCCGCCAATGGGGTTTGGACCTGAGCAGGGCAAGTGTCGTCCTTTGCATCATCTGCCCTGCCAACCGCATCGATAAACTCTGTTGCGCTGGTGGAGCTAATCACAGGATCCTGCTCGCCAGGCCGCGGAATCCACCCAGGTCTGAAGTCTTTTCCCGTCTCCATTGAGGTGCTGCCTGTGACCGCCAACGCCCCACCGTCCTCGTTGCCGTCGACATCGGACCCCTGCCCGTCTCCTCTGTGATGCTTTGTCTTCTCTCTGCTGTGCTGCTTTTTCTTCTCTCGGCTGCCCTTTCTCCCCTCTCCGCCGCCTTCTTGCCCTTGAGCTGGCTCTTTCGTCGAGCGTGGTGCGCTCCCCCCTCCGGTTCCGCGTTGCCCGCCGCCCTGACCGTCCCCTTCGTCGTCCTTTCCGCGAGACTTGCGCTTCACAACTGCAGCTGGCGGCGTGATCGCAGGCAAGTCCCAACTCACTTGCTTAATTGACGGGCTTAACGGAAGGCTGTAGAACGCGGAGGTTACTTCCAGCCAATGATTGGACTGCACTAATTCGAAAATCGTGTCCCCATACTTGCGCAGAGCAGGGTCGTCCACACATCGTCGATTGACCTCACTTAATTTCTCCAATACAACATCATAGGCTTTAGATTTAAATGTTTCGAGGTCCCAACAATCGTCATATTCCCACCCTCCGCTCAGGTCCCTCACAGCCACTGACCCATTCGCCGTCGAGAAGGACTGGCTGGAAATGGTCGGGGTGCCACACGATATCATGACCCTAATCTTCGGTTGTGGAGAAGGTGTGTTTGAAGCCCATATGGTAGGGCCTTGAAGGATCCAAGAGATGTGGATGGTCAGGAGGGACGGCTTGGCGGGGTTTAAGACGTTCCGGGAGCGGTGAGAGACGCATAGACTCCATCGGCGAAGTCTTCAGACGAGACAACCCAACCCTCTTGACAGGCACTGAGGAGGACACGGGCGTGGGACCGGCTGACGTGGGTGTAGCAAGCGGTGTCCCCGGTTTGCATACTGAGGGCGACTCAGAAACTTGCGCGTTGAAGATGGCCAATTGGCCCTCCAAATCGAAGAGGTCGTCCTCAACGCTCTCCTCCGGCTCAGTCTCGATGTTGAAGTCATCGTCATCACCAAATGCCAGCCTGTACTTGTTCAAAGTAAAGCCCGCCGGATCGACCACACCTTCATCGAAAAAGACATATTCCAACCTTTTCATGAAACCCACTGCGCTGGTGCGACTCGCCCCGTGGTAGCCCTGGAGGACTGCGATGGCGACTTGTTTTCGCATCACGAACTGCTCGTCTACTCTCCACTTCGGTTGATGGCCGAAAAGAAAGGAGTAGACCTGGCGCCTTTTCTTCGGAGTCAACTTGAAGAACATGTCCTTATTCGGGTCATACACAGGCTCGACAACGACATGGTGGAAATCGCACGCGTAAGCCCCAGACTGGACCTCGTGTGCAACAAACTGCGAGGTGTATTCAAGCTGCATTGAGTCCCCATCCAAGGCCAAGACGTGCCTTCCCTGGTGAAGCAGATTCCACACCACCAGCGCGTGCAGATTGCCCAAGAACAGCATGCCATCCGCCACGACACAGAAGAAAAGAAAATGACTCGATAACTGATTAGAATTCCTCTCGAAGTCCTTGTATACAACCCCCTTCTGGTTGTGGTTCCCGAAGTCCGCGAATTGCAAGGACTTGAAAGGCCTCTCCTCCACATCCACAGGTGTCACTTTCTGCTTCCTCCGGAGAGCGGCGGCATCGTCTGCGGCAACAGCTCCCTCGAACACTGGCTGAGTCAGCAGCCACGGATCCTCGCCTTTGAAAAGGATGTGCATAACATCCGGCTCCTCCCACATGCTGTTTCCGAACCGATGCGTCTTTTTCGCTGCTGTCTTGCGCACCCACTTCCCTGTGTAGCATCGGGTGGCCCCAAGCGCAGCCAAACATGTCATGAAGGACAGGTCCCACAGGCAGGGAATGAATACCACCAAGGTCCAGTAGTCCTGACAAATGAAGCCCAGGAACTCACTCAGAGACGCGAATGCTCCTGAATCCCAGCGCGTCCGATCCACGGTTCCGCACAAGTCGAGCACGCAAGTGTGGGAGCGCAACTGATGACCCAGTTTACCCAGCGTGTCCTTATGGTCCATGGCATTCAACGGGTCGACAACAAACGGGGCCAGTGTCGTCACGACGCTTGTCTTCCTCCATAAAATGTTGATGCATTCATCAATGCCTCGAGGACCTTTTCTGCTTTGCGCGCGCTCTCCAGTGAGCACCGATAGGACCACACGTTTCCACTCCGCCGGGAAATGTGGGTCGTTCACAAGAGCAGTAGTTTTCTTGACGTTGTTCTCATGTTGAAACCCCAGATATTGAGGGCACTTGTTGACATACGTCGTGTCGTTGAAAAACTTCCTGCTCTCGTTCCAAAGCTTGTCGTCCAGAACCTTTGTTCGAGTACTCTTCAAACAACTGTCGCTTTGACCTGAAGAACGAGGATCTGACATTCCACTCCTCCTTTTCCATGTGCTCGTGCTCGAACTCCACGTAGTGCCACAACCTTAGCATAATCCGGTTGATTTTAATGATGTCGACCATCTCCTTGACACTGTACTTCCCCTGCTTGGCCAACTTCTTGCTGCTCGATTGAACCCACACTACGGTAAGGTTCAAGATGCCGTTTAACAGCCTTTTCTTCTCACGGTCTGTCAAGTCTGCCAACTCCTTCGAGCAGTGGACGTCCGGCTCAGGAACTTGGACGTAGTAAGTTTTCTCCTCCGCGCCCTTCTTTGGTTTCCCCTTGCCATTCTTCAACGACGGGTCGTCTACCTTAACATACCAGATGTGTTTTTTCAATCCTTGGCTGTCAGTCACAGTCGACAGTCCTCATGGGTCGGTGCCTTTTCAGTCCAACGGCGGCCATCGGAAGCAAGAAGTTTTCCTTTTGACCATTGCTCGTAGAACTTCTCCCCCAACTCGAACACCGACTCGTCAGCCATGGCCAATGGGAGGTAGTACTGGAGTTTCTCAACCCATTCCTTTTTCTTCTTTTCTTCCCTGGACAGGTTCCACAAAGGCGTGTATGGTGTCTTCTTCATTGCCAAGGCCATGAACTCAACCCATTTACGCACCTCCTCCTTCTTCTTGGACGCGTTGTCGAGCACGACGCGCGGTTTCCTCTTAATCTTCCAGATATTGCGAATGTCCCGCATGGACAAAATCTGCAATCTCGGTGGATTCTTCTTGTCTTTCATGTTGTCTTCTCAACTGACATGGGTGTAGCCATCGAACTCGTCGTCAGGGAAGTAAATTGGTCTGAACGGCCACTCACAGAAGTTGTAGTAATTGAACATAGCATGGTCCGCCACCTTCATCGCTACCCTTGCATTATGCTGGCCACACACAGGATAATACCAGTATTTCTCGGGGTGGGAGTCGTCGAAGTCTTCAGGCAGCACGCGCACAACAGGTTTGTCCTTCTCCGCTGGCGCGACGATCGGAGCAAGAACGAAAATGGGCTTTGTATATCTCATGTCTTTACGTGCATAGCAGTCGATCATAGCCGCCGCAAGAGTGTCCACGAGGAACTCGTCCAAGGATTGGTGGTTATACGCGTCCTCCCAGTCTGGAATAGGCAAGATTCGTTCGGGATGGATGTGCAACACGACGTCCCTCTGCACCCCTGTCTTCATCCCCAGGAAGAACGCCCTGTCAAGGTTAAATGTGTTCACGTTAATCTCCACGTCATCGTCCCCCTCCCCTGTGTCGCCTTCATCTGCTTTCTTCCCCTTCGCCGACTTCGACCGCTTGCCGGAAGACTCACTGGTTCTTCGTTGTGTCGACGAATCTTTGGGCGTATCATCCCCACCTCCAACTCTTTTCCTCTTATCAACGGAACCGCGCTCTTCTGTCATCGGCGTCCGAGCACTCCCTCCTTGCTTTCTTTGCCTTTTCAGAGCAGCCAATCCCTCCCGCCCTTCGTCAAGTGGCAAGTTGCGCTTGCCTCCCGACTGACTCGTCACAGGCGAGCTCTCATGAGTCGCCCCCAACTCAAGTACCTCTTCTTCACCAGCGACGTTCCCACCTGCTTCTCCACGTGGGCTCGCCTCCGTCTGCAGATGTGCAGGAGCAGGGCGGACCGACCGAGTCGTATTAGCAGCTCCACGGACCTCTCGAACCCACGAGGCACCCGGTCGATCTCCCGCCGTCAAGTCGGCCACTTCTCTGCTACTAATGAATGCACCGACTCTTGCCACGAGGCGTTGGGGAGACCGCGATCCCGAGGCCTGCTCCAACCGTTCGCCGAGGCCGCCTCCAAGGGACGTCCGAATCGGCGACTCCCCAAGCAAACCTTGGCGTCGAGATCCCTGCAAGCCCAATTTTAAAGGCGCCCGCGCACGTTCGTCCTCCGAGTCGTCCGACATGCCCACCGCCGGATCAGGAGGCGTACCTGGAAGTCCACCCTGTGCCGTTCCCACACCCCGTCCAATACTGTCTCCTCGTGCGAACCCAATTGGACGACTTATCGATGTCCCAGGGTGGCAGGGTCCACGTCCATGCCATGTCCAAAGTGCGGAGAACTCGCCCAAACCTCAAGAAAGTCTTGCACGTGAATGACTTCGTCGTGACCTGGCGACAAAAGGACGAAGAAGGGCAAAGCCATCGCACCCGCGCCGTAGCCCCCGAATAACCTCCCAGCGAACTTGCACCCTTTTGCTAGCTCGTCGACGGAACTATCACTTCTATAAAGCTTCCAGAAAGTGAACTTGAAAATATCATCGCCTGCGTCGGCCCACTCAAGGACGGACCCGGCGAGACAAATTGTATCACCGCGACTGGCGACGTAGACGACCGGCCCGCATCGTGGTTTCAACGGGTCCGAGGCGTCCTAGCAGGCCCAGTCCATTTACCAGACACGCTTGCTGTAGTCGCACCACAAGTTGTGAGTCCCTCGTTGTTCCTCCCTGCCGACCCCCCCCCCACTCGTGCCCATGACCGGTGTCGACGTCGTCCTTCGAGGCTCCTCCCCATGCGGGGCAGGACCACGAGCGGAGTGCGGTTCTCCGTGAGTAGCTGTTCCTTGAAACACGCGAAGCAATGGAACATACGTCCACTCAAGACACTCAGCGCACACAAGACGGGGCGAGCGAAAACTCGAGCACGTCCCAACATCAAAGTCCACCCACAGAACCTACGAAGACGATGATTCACAAACACCCAAAGAACATGAAGCGCAATGATTATACGATGCGGGTAGACCATTGGCCTGATCGCGAAGGAGGGCACGCGCCAGCTTCGGATGAATCCGAAGCATGGAAATGCCAAGACGGCGACCAAGGAAAAGGCGTCTGGAGAACGTGATCATGACGCCCGATTGCATCAGTGATCGACTGGGGTACACGGCAACAGGGCGTAAATTGGCAATCATATTGCTAAACCGTTGATCCAAATGGATCCGAACCGGCTAGGGGCGAATGGTCGAAGGCGATGGAGCAGAGACAATGTGTAAACTCCGGCGTGTTCGGATTCATCCGAACTTCGCAAGCGGAAGGTCGTCTTGGCCCGGAAGCCATCTACGGCCGTGTGTTTCGGATTCATCCGAAGTTATTTTTCCGTGGGACCCTTAAGCACGTATGCGCCCCACGCTAAACGACGACCACTACCTGTTCCCACTTCATGCTCGAGACTTTCAGAAAAACAACCGATTTATTCCACGTTGAACCGACGCTGGGTTATGCCCCTGGTGTGCTCGGACGTTGCGATGTCCTTTTCATTCTGGAAAACGACGATCCGAGAAGTGAGAAAAACAATTGCAGAAGAACCCCGTGGGAAGGTTCGGATACATCCGAACTTGAATGAGGGACAAGGTCGACGTCAGACATCGTCGCCACTTACCTTGTAGTACGGATCCACCCGAGCTCCAACGAGGCGGGGCTCGGTGCGGCAGAATTGCGCGACATGGTAGTCGTGTGGTTCGGATTCATCCGAGCTCCGAAACGGAGTGAAGGGATCCGTCCTAATTGAGCGAAAAGGTGGCCGCGAGGTAGTCTGGATCGATGCGAGGCAGATGCGTGCCCTTAATGTTGTCGGAACCGTCAATGTCCTTTCAGTTGCAAAGACGCATGATCGACAGGTACGAAAACTCATGCCCAAAGAAAATCGACGGAAGGTCCAAAAGCATCCGAGTGTGATGTGCAAGACTGCATAGTGGTAACCCTGACGGTTAATGGATGCATGTCTGATGTGCGACCCTGGTTTGGCGCGGTCTCTCTCGCACAGCAAAGTTCGCGTAATTCGAAGTGCAGAGGGGGAACACCGGTACCTTGGGCGGCTGGTATGGCTAAAAAATAACATGACGTCCTTCAGCCGAGTTTCGAAATCAGATTAATCCGAAGCACATTGGCGAAGTTCGGATTTATCCGAAACACACGACGAAATCAACACCGGGGGTGGGCGCATCGTCAGTGTGGTTCGGATACATCCGAAGCTCGACGACGTGGTTCGGATCAATCCGATCATGAGACCGGAGGAACGACGCCGTGGTTTGTTGTCGCCATCCCAGCCATTTGTGGTGTGCAACGCTGCATAGTGGCAACCCTGACGGTTGATGGATGCATGTCTGATGTGCGATCGTGGTTTGGAGCAGGCTCTCTCGCATAGCGAAGTTTGCGTAATCCGAAGTGCAGAGGGGGAACACCGGTACCTTGGACGGCTGGTATGGCGACAACATAACATCGCGTCCTTCAGCCGAGTTTCGGAATCGGATTAACCCGAAGCACATGGGCGAAGTTCGGATTTATTCGAAACACACGACGAAATCAACACCGAGGGTGGGCGCTTCGTCAGTGCGGTTCGGATACATCCGAAGTTTCGACGAGGTGGTTCGGATTAATCCGATCATGAGACCGGGGGAATGACCCCCTGGTTTGTTGTCGCCATCACAGCCGTTTGTGGTGTGCAAGACTGCATAGTGGTGACGCTGGCGGTTGATGGATGCATGTCTGATGTGCGACCCTGGTTTGGAGCGGGCTCCCTCGCACAGCGAAGTTCGCGTAATCCAAAGCACAGAAGGGGAACAACGGTACCTTGGACGGCTGGTATGCCGACAACATATCATGGCGTCCTTCAGCCGAGTTCCGGTATCGGATTAATCCGAAACACATGGGCGAAGTTCGGATTTATCCAAAACACACGACGAAATGAACACCGAGGGTGGGCGCTTCGTTAGTGTGGTTCGGATACATCCGAAGCTCGACGAGGTGGTTCGGATTAATCCGATCATGAGACCGGGGGAATGATGCCCTGGTTTGTTGTCGCCATCCATGCCATCCGAGCAGGCAGTCTTGGCCTGCTGTAGTTCGGGTTTATCCAAACTCCACACGTGGTGTCGTGATCCTTGTGCGTTTAAGACGGGCGTGGCTCGGATGCATCCGAATTAGACACGGGCGGTGCTAATACGTTCGACCACCGGAGGATGGTGTCGACACGTGTCGATTGGCTGACGGGTGGTTTCATAGGGTTTAATGTAACAGGTGTCATATTACAGAACGGACCTATGATGGACATGCACGTGTCAGCGACACAGGCGAACGAGAAGCAGAGTTGACCAAGAGAATCATATCCTGTCTTCATACACCGCGATCCCGAGCGTCCCATCCAAGTGATGACAAGGACAAGATTTCGCTGCCACGTGTCGAGCTAGATAGAGGGGGAACAAAGGTAGTTCGATACGCGTGTGCGAGAAAGGGAAACATTGACGAAGCCGGGAGATGATCGTGTGAAGAATGTGCAGACAAGAAACGGGCTGTTGAAAAAAGAAACTGACGGGACTCATGTCAAAAAAAAAAAAGAAATCCAAACGAAAGACACGACACAAGAGATGACACACGCAAAATATCGACGACAAACACGTAGAAAATAAAGAGAGAAATCAGAACGGAGGAAACGTCAAAATCTGCAAACATAAAGAACACGAAAGACGAGCATTGTGAAGCAGGGGGATCCTATTCTCTAATGCCTTTTCGTTTTCATCACTCGCCTTCTTCGTTTGGCCTGTTCATCTTTGTCATTCGTCTTCTTCCCATGTAGTGACAAAGATGAGAAATTATGAGAAGAAGGCGAAGGACAAAGACGAACCGACAAAACGAAGAAGGCGAATGACAAAGACGGAAAGGTATGAGAGAAGAGGATACCCCTGTCTTTCAACGGAAAACGAGGAAGACACCTCGAACCCGGGCGTCCCGATCCACGTCATGACAAGGAGAAGATTCCGCTGCCACGTGTCGAGCTGGTTAGAGGGGGAACAAAGGTGGTTCGATACGCGTGTGCGAAGACAGGAAACATTGACGAGTCCGAAAGATAACCGTGGGAAGAGTGTGCGAATAAGAAACGGGCTGTTGAAAAAAGAAATGGACGGGACGCATGTCAAAAATAAAGAGCGAAATCCGAACGAAACACACGACACGAGAGATGACACACACAAAATATCGACGACAAGCACGTAGAAAATAAAGAGAAAACAAAACGGAGGAAACGTCGAAATCTGCGAAGATAAAGAACACGAAAGATGAGCTTTGTACAGCAGGGGGATCCTCTTCTCTAATACCTTTTCGTTTCCATCATTCGCCTTCTTCGCTCGGCCCGTTCGTCTTCGTCATTCCTCTTCTTCCCATATACTGACATAGACGAGAAGATATGAGAAGAAGGCGAAGGACAAAGACAGACCGACATGACGAAGAAGGCGAATGACAAAGACGAAAAGGTATGGGAGAAGAGGATACCCCCGTCTTCCAACGCTCTTCCAGTGTGCTCCTTCGTATAATCGGTTCTTCTGTTCATCTTTCCCGTCTGCTTTGGGGCATATTAGACGCACGCGAAATGGAGAAAAACGAAATATACGCACGCAAGCACAATTCGTGTTTCCGTGCGTTTATTTCGTTATTCTTCGTGTTGCGTGCATCTACTATGTCCTTCGTTTTCTTTTTCGTGCGTCTATTACATCGTTTTCGTTCTTCGTCTTCTTCTCATATCTTTCCTGCGATTGATCGGAGACGATGGGCTGTTGTTTGCGTGTGCGTTGATCACATGCCCCGAACGCAAGGCCCGATCACTAATCCCCCTAACCTGCCCCGATCGCACAACATACGCGGTGTAAGAAATCCCTGTTCGTAGGAGACCACTCCAGCCGATCACGTCAAATTATATTTTTCCACTTCTTTGAGATCGGGTGACGAGAGAGAGAG